AAGTATTGTTCAGATTATAGATATAAAGAAATTTAGGTTAAAAATACAAGATATCCTTTTTTTAACATCCCTTTGCAGTTAAAGAATATTATATAAAATTTAGATACATATATTAACCCTTAATTTAAATCTATTTTCGTGTACTTCTTGTGTCCAATATTTGTTGATAGAGTTCTATTTTATAGTTTTTTTCTTTTTTAACAATCTTGAAGCATTACTAAAATGGAAATTAATTTAGCACATTTTAAGATATTATGAAATAGAACTTTTAGTTGCATGAATGCAATAATATCTTTAATCTTTGTATGCTGTTATTTTGGTATTATTCTTATCATAACCAAGAATTTTCTCTAAATTTAAATTTAGAATGTGAATTGTACAAGATTTATAAAGTAGATTCTACAACTAAATCTTTCAGCATTTATCATTTCTAAGTTTTCTAATCTTCATATTTCTTGAGAGTCAATATATTCTAATATTCACAAAATAATTTTCTTGTCAACTCATATTTAATTAACAGTAATACTATTATTTTTTATTAAATTGATTTTATAAACTTTAAATGTTAACAATGTTATTGAAAAATTTATTTTGGAAATTTAAGAAAAAATACCCAAACATTTAATTGTGACTAATATGAATGCTTTTTATAAATTTATATTATTAATCGTCCAATTTATTTTAGGAAGGTTGTTATAGAGAAGATAAATTTTATTAAGATTGCTCATTGTGTTTATCAATACCAATAATTATTTCCTTTTTAATTCTACAATTTAGGTGCAATTTCTTAATTTAATTGTAAAATATAACCAGTTGAGAATTTTTAAAGATTTAAAGGATATTATTTATGTATAGATATTAATTAATTTTGTAAAAATCATTTTGAAGGGACCACAGTGATTATGTAGTTCTAAATCTTTAAAAAGCTGTGTACATTAAGTAATAACTGTTTATTATTTGATGTATGTAAAATTTCACGTTGTGCTCAAGTTAATCAATAATTAAGATTCATATATAAAATGGTTAGAGAAGATATAATTATCTCCTTAAATCTTAATAATTTCAAAATTATACAACTTTTTTAATGATTAGTATATGTTTTCAAAGTTTTTTAATATCTTTGTCAATTAACAGTTGATTGATACATTATCTTGAATTGAGAGTAATATTAAAATTAATCAATATCATATTGTTAACTTTTGTTATATAGTTTAAATTATATCCTAAGATTTCGTTGTCATATCTTTTTTATTATT